AATGAGAATTGCAACCTTATAAAAAAAAAACATAAGACAAAGAGAAAACAAAGAGATCAAAATAATGTATTAAACAATAATTTTGGATATATGGATATACTACAAACGTTATATGAGTTTTAATGCATACATAATGGTTTTTTGTATAAGCGTATCAACAGCTTCCGTTACGATCGCATCCAAAATTGGATCAAATAAACCGCATTTACATGGAAACGTGTACTCTGTGAGACTGTGTAAATAAGTCATACATTTTATGGAAGGATTAAGTTTCTCTTTTATGTTAGTTTTGTAAAATGGTGATGTGACCAAAACGAATATTTATTAGCGCAATTCCGACAATAATTTTACAATACATTACCATGAAAGTGGTTTAATTGTTTACACGTTTTACCAATGGATATGACGGAAATTTCATATGCATTTAAATAAAGTGCGTAAATATAAAAATAAGAAGATGTGGTATGATTGCCAATGAAACAACTCTCCACCGGAGACCAAATGACATAGAAGTTAAGCCCATTACGCAAGGTCAGGTTCATAATAGGATCCGACGCAAGGTCAGCTACATAATAGCACCCGAAGCAAGGTCAGCTACACATTGTTGTCAATATTATGGAATTCTATGCGACTGTCATACAGAGTGAGAGGTTTAGATAGCTATAAAACCAGGTTTAATCCACCATTTTCTACATAAGTAAATGCCCAACCAAGTCATAAATATGACAGTTGTTTTCCGTTCGTTCGATGTGTTTGAGCTTTTGATTTTGCCATTTGATAAAGGACTTTCCGATTTGAATTTTCCTTCGAGTTCGGTATTTTTGCTATTGTACTTTCTACATAATAGAACCCGACGCAAGGTCAGCTATATAACAGAATCCAACGCAAGGTAAGCTACAAAATAGGACCTTAGCAAGGCGAATATTAAAATTTTCAATGAGACAACTAACGCACGGGAATTTCCATTTGATCATTGTTTTTGCTCAACTTGATAAGATTCTGTAACAGATCAGCAATATCAAAAGTATCGTTTGTTGCTTATACTTCTCTATTATTATTTTGCATTTGGTTTTGGTGTTTCACTCACATAGTTATGTAAAAACATAAGGCTACAAGATTGACCATTGCTAAACAATCAAATCGATAATGGTTGACAAATCCATTTATTTTAAGGTATTCTTTTAAGAATAATGTCTTTCCATTCAATTTGGATTTATTATGACAAATTTCTGAGAAACTTGATTTAAGTATCCTATTGGTTTAATTTTCTTTCTAGTATCGCGATATATCACAAATTTATGTTGTGTTAACTTATCACTGTAAATGAGCAGGACCAATTTCCCCTGTATATTTGTTGCACTCAATGGGAAATTTAAACGTTATCAAATTCTAATTGTAATTTAAATATTAAGAGTCTATATCATATCGGCTTAAAATAATTTTCACAATTTTAAATAATTCCATAAAATCAGAAAATTGCACAGCGCTACATGTTGCTGTTTGGGGCATTATGATAGAAAAGTACAAATTTTACATGTTTTTTACCAAGTGTGTCATCGGAGAACATCGCTTACCAAAATAAATTAATGTGTAGCAGAAGGACAATACATAGCATTACTTGAAACATACTTTTGGTTCTAGTTAACGTTGTCCTTTTAAAGTTTTGAGACAAGTGCTTAAACTGGCAAACAAAGTCAAAATTCCGGTTTTGGGATATCTTCAGCGTTTATAATTTGATGACCTGTTCAGAAATAAGCCAAACTATTGTTAGAATTTTAAAAAAGATACATTGGGCTGTGATAATACGAAAACAAGTAAACATTGGAAGAATTTTTGAAAATTCTCCTTGTGTAAAATACATTCAGGGGAAATTGGCCCTGCTCCTTTGTATCTTACGAAAACTTCGCAATAAAAGAATGTAAATTGTTTAGTGGTTTTCGTTGTTTGCTGTCTGTTAAATTTGTTTTTCGTTGATTGTTCTATTATAAAACGGCTAGGGTGTTGATTTTCGTGTTTGAATTACTTATTATTTCACATTATGTCATGTCAGGACATTTTATGATAGCCGACTATACGGCATAGGTTTTACTCGTTGTTGAAGGCCGTACTTTATAATTGCTTGCATCAACGTCGCTACCTGGACTTTTGTGGAGAGTTGTCTCATTGGCAATCATACCACATCTCCTTATTTTATTTTGAAAAACGTGGAAAAACAATCAGTTCTAAAATAAACTGGCTGAAAAACGCGAATTTACGCATAATTTTGATCGTCAAGCATTAATTTTACCCTAAAAGTCGAAATCTTTATGCCAGGTATTAAATATTTGCATAGTAAGATAACAACAAATCCGTGCATGAATTTAACACTGTAAATTGTATGACAGCCGGTTTTTGAAGTATAACGTGGAATTCTGAATGATATAAATGTGAATTAAAAATAACATTTTTTCCTACATATAATTTTCTTTTAAAAAAGTACTTTTGACAGAAAAAGACACTGCCTTACATATTTTATCAGTTGTTTTCTATAAGACGCTAAATGGTATTTCTAATGCAATTATTTTGTATCAATGGTTCTGATTGGATGACAGTAAGCGTAAAATTCTCTATCTCCTTGTCAGTTACTAAGGAAGCCGACATTTTGAATTGCGGAATGTATTGACATGTAATTTCTACAATAATAAGCAAAAAACTCACATGTTGCACCTAGAAATCTTCTTTTTATCAAATTTTATTACATTCTGAAGCGGTCAAGAAGCCAGAAAACACCCGGTGTTTACGTTTGACGACGGAAGCATACCTATGACGTCACCTAGTTTAGGGACCAAAGAAGATAACATCTTTTCGCGGAATTTTCTTTAATGAAAATTTTACACTGAAATAATGATTGAAATTGAATTATGTACTTGTTTTGCATTAGAATAGAGATAACTGTATTGTATTTGAAGCTTTGCGGACGTCCATCGGTAGTTTTACTGTCGCAAATACCCGTTTACCTGTCTCCGCTACGCGTCGCCAGGTAAACTAAATTTGCGACAGTTAAACTACTGATGGACGTCCGCAAAACTTCAAATACAATACAGTTATCTCTTAAATCCATCTGTAATCTAAAGGACCATCACTCAACAAGTGAATGCATATGAATAAGGCTGACATTTGTAAGTTACATTGCAAAGCAAAAGAAAAGTCAAACATAAAAACTATCTATAGCTCAACACTTATCTTCAATAATTAAAAAAAATATCATTTCATTGATCAAACTGCAATTCTAAAAATCACTAATATATGAAGCATCGGCGAGGTTTCTGTTTTAGGACAGGACATTAACATGTCGCAGGGGTTACCTAAGGTTCAGAGTTGTCACTCTTTCCCTACCTTCAATGATCAGTGGAGTAACAAAACTGCAGAGAACCAAAGTACCCCTAAAGTACCCATAAAAGTTGGAAGATATCAACGGAACAACTAAAAACCATTAATGGAAGGAAGACAAATAAGATTTGCCTCTGTATCAGAACTATTTTCTGAGGCTGAATCAGTCATCCAAATTGTTCTTCCTGATGGCGTCCTTCTTTCACTTTTAAATTTGGACATTTTTTTTAATAAATAATTAAGAAAATGCTGAACACAGTCATGCACATATCATCTGGAACTAACGTTCAAATAAAAGGTTGCATGAAAACAGACCCAAATGAGGTCGAATTATTGTCTTTAGATCTTATATTTACAAAATAAAACTAAAAGACTGGCTGCTAATAAACTTATCATAGGTACCAGGATTCAAATTTTGTACGCCAGACGCGCGTTTCGTCTACAAAAGACTCACCAATGAAAAAAGTTAAAAAATCCAAATAAAGTGTGAAGTTGAATAGCATTAAGAACCAAAATTCCGAAAGGTTTTACCAAATACAATGAAGGGAATATATTTCTGTAGTAGATACCTAATAGTATTTCGAAAAAAAATCAATGATTTGTACACATTTAATTTGTAATTATGACCATATCAATGATAATTTATGCCAACATAGAAGTGCTGAATACCGATTTCAATATCCCCCTTTTGTAGATGTTTAAAACAAAACAAAATCAAACTTTCTTTTGTCACAACCGTAGCCGTAATGCCCCTTTAAATCTGTAGTGTAAAGAACAGATTATATTGGTATTGCCATGAAGTAGAACAATAATTTAGAAGTATTTAAACCGTTCAACATTCCATCATAAATATTATATTTTTCAGTACTCTGAAGTTAAAATGTTTGATTGCATGTTGCAAGCGAAAGTCCTTTTTGGCAAATATCAAAGTGTAATACTAAGAATACCCTGCAAAATATATTTTTATTCGGTAGATTGCTTCCACATACACCTATAAGTTTTTAAAACTTATAATTTTATGCATGAAAAAATAAACGCATTTTTTTTTTTTAAATAACTATTTTATTGTAAATACATAATAGAATATAAATATTTATACCATAAAAAATTGCATAAAAAACAAAAAAAATAGTAGAAATAAAATTTTAACAAAACATACTACCCTTTATAATATATAACATGATAATTGATATGACTTACAAATACTGTGAGTATTGCACGACGACTATTTCACTGTACCTTTTCTGCCACTACATATAAAAACATTTACACACAATTGTTTGACACTAAAGACAAAAATGATGATGTCACAACTTTTATTCCAAAACATCCGTAAATAAATCGAAATGCAATATTGAGATCATTCGGAAAAAATTTTAGTATGCTCTATTCGTGTTTTACCACACGCTTTTACTGTGCTTTTTAACCTGTATAAGAAAACCTTTGAGGCTATTAAGATTCTTTATTGATTCTGCCTGGTATTCGGGTAGTTTCTTCCATGTAGTCAACCAGGATTTCTTTCTTGATACTTTTACTTTTGGCGATAATAAACATAATCCAAAAAGTATGTCATTTTTCATAACTCTAATTTCTCTAGCATAAGTTTGTTTTTGAGACTTTTTCAACTTAGCTTCTTTTAACTCCATTGAAGTAAGGCTGTAATAGAAAACTTTCAGACCTTCTGCAACATTCTTTTGAAGAGAGTTTAATCTTTTCCCCTGAAAATACAAAAAAAAACAAATAGTAAAATGATCATAAAATCGTATTAGAGTTCGCAGGTGTTTTTTTTTTAAATGTATTTCTCATTGTGATTTGTATTATTCCGTGCATCGAACAAATGTTATTGAATGTTTGGTAAACATCTGCGAGACAATAAACCAACAACACACAGACTACAATGCCAATACCAATATACTGGGGGTCAACATTAGAGTTTCAAGAATAAACTGAATATTTTAACTATTATTATTAATAATAGATTTATATCTTTTTATAATTGTCGTAATTATGTCACAAAATGTAATATGCTTTACTTACTTTTTTAAATACTGGAAGTTTTGATTGACTAGAAGAACGATGGTTTTTTGAGACCGCGGTTACTGGACGGTCGTCCTGAAAAAAAATTATTCATGTTTATGTTATGTCATAATGAATTCATTTCAGTAAAAAAACGATGAAAGAAAATACACCGTAAAAATATGAAACCGGAATCAAACCCAACTAAACATTTTTTTATATCAAATAATTTTTCCGCATGTAGCTTATCTAGATAAGAACGAGGAAAATAACAGAACTGGATTCCGCTCAATCATGTTTCCCAAAGAAAACAAAAATAGAAATTCAATAGTTCTATGTCATTATCGTTTCACATTAATACATGTTATCAAAGTTCCCCTCAAAATTGATTAGTTAACTTCAGCAAGAGTCGTGTGTTCACTAATATTAGGACTCATTAATTAGCCAAATCAGCACGAATCATGCTTGACCGGAAATCCAGGTAGGCATATTTCTATAATTAACCTCCAACATCCCTCCCTAAACTCTAACAATCGAGAGAATATTTGGGTTTTCATGCATTTCTTCAATTTTTTATTGAGCACTGAAACCTTTCAAAACCAACCCAACAGAATCAATGATATAAAAATAAAATCAACACCTCTGTTAATAACTGAAACACAATTTGAATTTACTTACGTAGTTTTTGAGTAGATTTTCAGTTTTAAGGATAAGACTGTCAACCATTTTATCAGCAATCGATCTATTATAATTTACGTTGTTAGAATATTCTTTTGCTGGTTTCTGTTTGCATGGCTTTCTTAACTCTAACACTGTCTTCTTTGGAAATCTTTTACACTTACACGTTGTCGCGTATTGACAATAGGTTGAAAATACCATCACAGCAGTTGTAAAATCTGTTCAAATAAGAAATAATATGATATCAATGTCATGATATCGTTGAGTAAACACATCACCTATTTTTAGTCGATTGCATTTAAGCATTTAAAAGATATAATACCCTGTGGACGTTTAAACGTAAAAACATTTCAAACTGTTCTACTGTGTAATAAATTGTTCTCAATTTTAGACATTGGTTTCATAGTAAATATAAATGTTACTGATAGAAATGAAAATTTGTAGCAAAAATATCTTATTTAAAAAAATGCTTTACGTAAATATCAGTGTATAAATTAGGCTTGTTAAGACTTATAACGTACAGGAGATCTTCATGTTACTTCAATTTTCTTTCTGAATTATATAATATCATCAATTTTGAATTTTATTATATATATACCCTAAAGACAATAAACAATGAATTTTCCCAATTCCCACAGATTTTATATATATATATCCGGTAATCCCTGATGACACTACGTGTCCGGTTTAGACCAAAACACAAAAAAAAAAAAAAAAAAAAACAAACTTTAAAATCACGGAACTAGATAATGCGTGGTATACATTAAATACATGCTAATGAGACAGAATCATAACGAAAAAATGTAAACAAAAGACATCATGAATCTGAATTGCTCTTCTGGAGTTTATATTCATTTGAGTATATTATTTATATTAATTTTATAAGTTCTTCATCGAAAGGTTACATAGTTATTGGCTGGCATTTAAAATGTAGCGGCCATTATAGATTTTTTTAGATGGCTCTATATCCAAAAATGTGTATTGCAGAGCAATATAACTTGCACTGTGCAAAGTTCATACTTTACCATACAGTGATTAATTGTGCGAACATATTGGATTTATGCCACTGGACTAGTTCTTGTATTTAAAAAGACACACTTTTGATCATTCGTGACATGTTTGACTTAAACTGTTTTTTTTTATCAAACACAAATTTGTATATCAAAATTATTAACGAAGACAGTTATATAAGTTGAAAGGTGAAATATCATTATTGTTCTATTTGAAAAGAATGAGCTTTCGTGATACTTGTGGAACTGGAACTGCTTACTGCTTCCCTATCTTGATCATCTTTGTGGGGTTCGTGTTGCTTAATCTTATGTTTTCTGTGTAATGCTTTGTAGATTACTTGATTTTTTTATTTTTATCTTTTTGGTCACGATGTTATGTATATTTTTTAAGATATGAGATGCATGTATACCTCAATAAGACAGCCTTCAACTAAATAAATAATCAAGAGGCATACAAAGGGCAACATAAAGTATTCAACAATAGACAGATTAATTGTCCATCAGTCTTTGCCTTATAGTTTGAAACTCTTATAATTGTCTTTATAATCCCTCAATTAGCCACCCACCACTGTATCTGAACCATTCTTTATTTCTATTTGTATCTATCTGATGAGTTAAGCCTTTTTCAACTGATTTTTATAGTTCGTTCTTATGTTGTACTGTTACACCACTGTCCCAGGTTAGGGGGAGGGTTAGGACCCCTCTTACATGTTTAACTGACCCCGCCACATTCTGTATGTTTGTGCCTGTCCCAAGTCAGGAGCCTGTAATTCAGTGGTTGTCGTTTGTTGCTGTGTTACATATTTGTTTTTCGTTAATTGTTTTGTACATTAATTAGGCCGTTAGTTTTCTCGTTTGAATTGTTTTACATTTGTCATTTCGGGGCTTTGCTCATTGTTGAAGTCCGTACGATGACCTATAGTTGTTAATTTCTGTGTTATTAGGTCTCTTGTGAAGAGTTGTCTCATTGGCAATCATACCACATCTTCTTTTTTATATTGTCACTATGTTTTTGGTTTTAATGTCTTTAACTTCGTTATTTTTTTTTGGTCTGACATCTGGTTCGAGCACCATTAACGAGGTATATTATGACGAAACGTGCGTCTGACGTTCTTAAACAACGATACTGATAAATACATTTATATGCAGGTGTTGCAGGAAATATTTTTGTTTGGTCTTTCTGAAGTTTGGTCTTACACTTTGATAAAATAAAGTAACGGAAAAATTCGGCGAAACAATGGGATTTTATTCATTGAGCTATCACAAATGTTAATTCTCTGAAATTGACTGTTTTGATATGGGCCACGTTTGTTGTCAATGAATACTGATTAAATGACAATTACTACAGAGAAGCTTGTCTTCAGGAGGTGTTAAATCTTTATAAAATGTGCATTACAAGTCTGTATGGTCAAACAGATTTTTTTCTAAACATACTCTTTTTATAACAAAAATTGTATATACTTTATCTAAATTTATTCTATTTAGTAATTCTATTATATCAACAGAAATGTGTACCGCATTCATGCATAATAGGCTTACTCGACCCGAGTACAGAAATCACTCTCTGTGACTGTGGTAGTCACGGTAATTAAGTTTATTTAGTTATTTTCTGTGTTTTGTCATTAATTTCATTTTTATTTTAAAACTAAATTGTTGATCGTAGTAAATGCTAAAAGTATCTTAAATGTTGAATGGTGAATACAAACATCATTTGATATTTTTTCATATCCTGATCTTTTATTGTAATACACTTATTTCATACTTTTTCCAAAGTTTGCCGACTGACGTCTCTTCGTTGCTTTCTACGTGTATACAAGTCTATTTTTAGGAATAAGTTGTGCAACTTTTATTGCACGAAATCTTTAACGCAATATGACAGCATCGTGCAGTAAAAGCTACGGTATCAAAAATTGTTATATTTAACCCACAAAGACTTTAAATTCTGCAAAAGGGGAAAATTGAAAATGCAGTATGTGTTTTTGAATTCAAGAATTTGTTTATAATTTTATATTCTCTTGTGCATTTGAGTTTAAAATATGTCCTATATAGTAATTTGATGTTATTCATTCATACAACCGACTTCAACAGTTCAATTGTCATGTGAATAACAACTTTAAATGGCCCTGATTTCAACCGGGAATAATAGGTATCACGTGATAGGTATAAGGTTACATAATATAGGATTTAAATGTATAAATTTTTTAAACTTTTTAAAGCTTTGTAAAAAATGAATGATGATTTGTTTTGTCAGATAACAACCTACACATAACTAATCTCTTGACTTAATAAAGAATTTAAACTGCGATTTCAATTTCGTAGAACTGTACTCGGAAATCGTAGTCATAATGATTTAAATATATTTAGGTTAATTTCTTTTGCGGTACTACTCGCCCCCGATCAGTCATGAATCAAACAATTGAATATAAGCATATAAAGTTATTTACAAATGAATAAATGACCAGGAAAACTTTAAATACACGTTTTTTTAAATGCAAGTGTGACTGACATATTAGTATCTGAATATGACCACAAGAAACAATTTAGCATCAAGTATCTCGATGTTTTCAAATTTTTTAAAACAAAATTCGTATTAATTAATCCATGGCTTTCATTTGTTTTTAGAGTTCCTGATGAAGGTTAACCCAGAAGAACTCTAAGAAGTGTTATTAATGACAATAATAATTTTTTTTTACTGATTTCTTCTTAGTTACAGATAATGTAAATACCCATTACAATTTAAGACCAGTAATATTAGGAAACAAGTGACCTTTATCCTAATAAATAGTGTTAATCAATATACATATCAGACAGTACGCGGATATAAGTTCAAATCAATACACTTAATTACTGAAGACCATAGTTTGATTATTTAAAGATCAATGTTGAGTTCGTTCATGGTGACGTATATACAAATAATAGCCGATGTCAGACTACTTGGAATACCACAGGGTATAAAAAACCAAACAGCCTATTCAGTCTACCAGTGATTTTTAAAAAAAATTTGTGTCCCTTTTGGTCATATACCTCCATACATATTCAGGTATCCATGCATCCTTGTCTTTTACGTTTTTTTAGTTTGAGCGTTCCAAATGAAGGTAAATCCTGAAAAACGCTGCGGACGCGCACGAAATTTATAATGCTTTATGTTCATGTATGTTTTACTTCATGCAGACGAACATGAGTTGTTAACAAAATATAAACGTAACACCTTTCTATTGGATCAGCAAGCCTGAAAGTGTGTAGCAAATTTTATTTTTATTAAAGACAAAAGCAAGATGTCGATGGGCTTTTCGTTTTTCTCATAGTCATGAATTCTTGATAAACAAGTATATTTCGTAGAAGAAAAAAATACTTGAAAAGTTAGAAAATCTATTCTTTAGTCTAGGCAATGTTTCATTCACTCAAAATGTCTCGATAGTATTTTTTTCAGACAAAGGTTTGCGCATAAACCCAAAGCACAAATGAGTACTTTGTTACGGTTTGGGAAAAACCTAATGAGGAGATTCAACCATTCTTCTTGAAGTTGCAATGTCTCCTCTTGAGATATTATACTAGTATGTACATGTAGAACAAAAATTCCGATGACAAATATCATTCGATTTTGTACCTGTATGTTTGGTCAATGAAGTTAATTGCTTCGATGGGTCAGTAAATGCAACAGTTAGCAAGAAAAACTCATTTTTGTCTATTTTGAAATTAATCTTACAATGGTGAAATAGATTTTTCAAGGGTAACCCTGTCTTAGATACGATTGAAATGCCCGAAAACAAGATCAACCGGATTTATCTATACTAAAACACCTACAAACGACAATCGCTAGATTACATGTTACTGACTTAGGACAGGGATATCATGTATACGGCTGGGTTAAAAAGGTTTGTGAGTGTTTTACCTAGGGCAATTGTGAAGTAGTACAATAAAAGACCAAACTGTAAAAATCAGATGAATATGGATTGACTCAAAAGACCGATTTTTAGCACAAGAACAACCAACAAAAAGAAAACTTAGCAAACTAATGATTTTTTTAGTTAATTTTATGTTGTTGTGGTGCTCAGCCGGTGACGGTAATCTCAAACTCTCCTTATTTATAGAATAACGTAGTCTTTAGCTTTGACTATGCATATAGCAGCCAAGAATGAAAACCTATAGCAGACGACCTAAGGAGAATCATATGATACACTGATGAGAAAAAAAATAAATGTCAAAAAGATTATTTCATATTAAATTTAAAGTCGAAAATGTTCAATGATATGATATTGAAAACTTATTTTCAGAGTTAATGTTTTTTTATGTTTTATCCAATGGGATCTGGAGATATGGGATAAGAAGCCCTGCGTTTGAATGTTATATTAGCATTTGAATCAAATTATGGTTTGACCAATCACTTTTTCTCATATCTTATCTCCATTTTCTCATTCGACGGTTTCTTGATATTCTTATCGTAAAGCAATTGGTTACTGTGTGTTACCTCTTTAGTTCAAGCAATTTATCTAGGACAACTAGAACAAGTAATATTAAAACATTGTTTAAAATGAACGAATTATCGTTCTTTTATGAGCGAACGGCAAGATAAATACAACTTAAAGAATTTTGGGGAAGAAAGGGGGGTAAGTTCAATGTATAACATAGGGTGTACCTAACAAAACCCTTATCACAAGTTCTCGGGGTCCTTAGGTAACTTGCTGCAAGGTTGACTCAATACCGCATCCCCTCTTCTTTCTTCAATGTCTTTTTTGTCAATGAATTGTTTAACTATTTCATCGACCTGTAAACGCATAAAAAAATTGCCAATGAAGTGTTTTAAAAAAATAATCATACAACCATACTACAAGTTGGTTCAAACGGTTCTACAGTAAATAAAATCTCTTATAAATCATCAGATATGTCGGTCACCCGAATAATCAGTACGTCAATACATTGAATAAATTTATATATAGTAAATATTTGATAGTTATCGAAGTCCAAATGATAAAAATAGACAAACATTGCAGTAAAATTAAATTCCGTCATTTGTGATTGATAATGTAATTCACAAAAGTAATGAAATACCTTAAACACATTTGGATCGAAAGTATTGATTTTTATGCAACTTTTGAAAGATAGTGATTTCTTAATATTAAACACAAATGTTCACTTTAAAGTTTTAAAATAGAAAAAGAATAAATCAGGATGATACATTTTGAATAAAATGTAAATGGGAAATTTTCCATAGGAAAACTGTATACATAAAATGTTTCCTGTCTTAGTTTGCGAACACTAATGAAATAGCCTATTTTAATTTAGGTATTTGTTTATTTTATTTGTTCAAATAGTTTCTAGGGCAACAATGTATAAAATAAACAAGTACATGGATTAAGAATTTGGACTTTCCTGAATAACATACTTTTGAAAATAATAATGTGTAATTTATCTTTGGTTTATTTTTTGAATTCGTTTCAATAGGAACAAAAATCTAAAATCTGCAGGTTGGAAAATACAACACAATTGTAGAACAAACAACTATTTAACAGACGATTCGTCCTTTGTGTTTGTCAGTGTATTTTGGAATGAGGAATATGATTTTTTTTATATAGATGGATTGTTTGAAAAGGGAAGATATTGCTTATATTGAAAATATGGGGAACATTTCTTGTTCCTATATATCATTGACAAAAATTGTTTGTTTATGATTTAATTAAACAAAAAAAGTTTAATCGGAGAAAACAATTGATTATAATGCCAATATTCATTTCTCTGAGAAAAAAAAAAGCAAACTAAATCGAACAAAGATGATTTTTTATTTAATTTTTTTTTATAACATAAACATATGTGTTGGGGAGAGGGAGGTAATACATTAGGAAAGAAAAACATTAAGATAATTCATATTTATTTTAATAACAATCACGTAGGTATACATAGACAATGGAAAAACATGTAAACATGGTAAAGTAAGAAAATAATTTATGTGCTGCCTGATTATCACAGATATATCAAAAACATGCCAAATAGTTTATTAAAAACTAAACGTTTATTCAAATGCTCTATCAACGTCTCCTAGGAAATACTTCAAATGACTTAAAACAAACATAGACGTTGCTTGATATGTTGGTAACAGCTGTAATGTATTGATGCATAACGGTGTCATTGTATCCGACTGGGCTGTAATTCGTCTTGATATAAAACACATTCCAGATAATAAATAATTCTTTAACAATCGCAAGTCATCTTCAAAAGTGTTAATTTCTGTACGCTGCAAATTCTGTTCTTGGATTTCCATGGAAATTATCTGTACGAAATAAGCCTTGAACGATAACATCATATCCGCCAATCCAGCATCTGTTATTACCTAAAAATATATTAAAGAATATTAAAATACCCCAAGTTTCATGAAACTATCGATTTTCGACTGTGTTTATTTGTTCTGCATCGTACATTTAAAAGTTTATATTTGATTTACAAATGAAATTATAGAGAATTATTTCCTTAAACTTAGTCACAATTATGGAAACTATAAAATGTTATAAAAAAGTTCTATATGTAAACATTAAAAAAAAAATGTCGACGATTATTTCCTTATCTTTTAGAAACTTGATCAGTCAAACACCAAAACGTTACGAAAAGTATAAATGTACATGTGTTAAAGTATTCGTTCTCAGTATTGCAAATTTTCAGTTAATAGAAATGTGTATCCGCTCGTAATCATAAATTGTTCACATGATGCATTTTCACATTTATTTTACTCAAAAGTGAGCAAATTCACCTAGATTTTGCAGATTATTACAAAAGTTACCAAAGACCGAAACTAAATTCGTATTCCAAGTGTACTACTGACTCATCGCGCGTTTTCGTTCATTAGTATTTCTTTTAATGGCGCCATTCCCACGTGACCTAAAAACGGCCAACCGGAAAATGATCATGCTACAAAGTATTGTACCAATAGAAGGGTGTTTTTATTCACATTAAAGTTCGAAATAGTGTCTGTATTATTGTCAAACAAATTCTTTATAACATGTTCATATTTCTTACAAAAACCATCAAATTGAATTCAACTTAGATGCAAAAACAGAAATATGAAGTTGACTAATTTCATCACCCAGCTTTTTTTTTAAATTCATTTTACTTAAATAGACTGTTTTAGGTGATAGATATTTGTAAATAAGGAAGAAAGTCCAATTAGCAATGTGAACTGCTTTGTTAGTCACTATTCCAAATATATGAAAATGGTGGGGGATTTGATTTCCTACCACAAAAGCATTGAAAAGAAGAGTGTAAAATATATGTTTTCTTGATTTTCAATATTGGTTGAGAAAATTGATTAATTAAGCACAGTCACATAACATTAAATCAGGTAATTGCTGATGTTCAGCTAAAAGGCTTTCGACAAATTGAAGAAATAAACATATCATTACAGAATGCAGTAATGAATAATTATTAAAAATGATCTTATTCAACACTTTTCGAAAAAAACATATGGTATTCTAAGAATTGTTTTAACAAGTCAAAAGGTATCGTACAGACAATAGATAATATATTCAATCAAACTTATCCATTTTTCGACCAAGAAATGACACAATCCTAATTTTTAAGAAAAAAACCTTTTGGGTTTATTACTTAAAATTATAAATGAAGTCAATTACCAAAAATAAAGAAACTTGAAAATTTATCATTTACCACCCTTTGTTGTATGCCTGAATGGTCCTTAGGAAGAACTGTATTTAAGTATAATTTCTGTAACACAATATAGACTAACATGATATTCTAATTTGACATTTATTTCTTTTTTAGGCACACTGAATGCCCCTCAATCTGTGGGCAGTTAATTTACCAATGGTGGTTAACAAGTAGATTGTCAACCTTACCATACCCTGGAAATAAAACATTATGAATCTTTCTGTTATAATTGGTTTATATTTAGTTGGCTCAGCTGTTCAAACCAATCGTGTATGAGCAATGTTGTTATTCCATCGGACAATATTGAAAGAAGAAACATTTAGTTTTATTTTGATCTCAATATCATATTTGTTCCGGAAAGAATCTCTTATTGTGTACGACATCAGATAAAAACAAATGGAAGGCAAAGACCAATCGGCGCTTGGTCATATGACAAAAAACCAATCTTCGGTTAACGCTTCTTTTTACATAAATTTGTAACTATGATCTTAAAATAGTTAGATTAAGGCGACAGTAGTTTACCGATGTTTAAATTTCGTAAATCGATTAGGAAGAGGCACCTGAAGGTAAAAAACAAAATAAATTTCGTTAATCGATTTGGAAGAGGCACATCAAGGTAACATACAAAAACTGAGGGAATCGTATGAACTCAGAAGAAGGTACTTCGACAGGGGAAACGTCTCCTGCTATGTATTCATCACAAGTCATACGAATTCACACTGTCAAAATTTCAAAATCTGTGATAGGCCAGTTAGCTGATACTCTAGTATGGATATGGCCTCACAAACAGTTGGTATTGAGTGTACATAGTAAGTCTTATTCAAGCGTACATAATGAAAGTTATTCTTTAAGAATAATTGGTCATTCGCGTTAAAATCAGTATCATTCTGTTTATTGATACTTCACAATGTATATTTAAAGAAATTTATGCTATAATATGAAAATTAAAATGTCATTTTGCCTTTGTATTTTTCTTTCTAAAACAGACAAATTAATTCAGTATTAAAGTAAGGTAGTTTTTAATTTGATGATCAAAACAAATTAAAAGTTACAAAGAAATAAAGAACTAGGATATTTTAGTCCTCGTATCTATGATGAGTTTATTCATACCACAAAAATAAACATATACGGATACCAAAAACGGTACTAGAACTGTTCTACACCCAAAATAGGAAAACAAAGTTTATAACTGTGTTTAAATCTTTATCTGGATTAATTTTACTAACCGGTGGTTTAACTGGTAGATAAATGTTGACTCTGCTTCCATGAGAAACAACAGATCTTAAATTCTGCAAGAAAATACGATTCATTGGTTAAAAAATGGAGTAAACCAAAAATTTTTAATGTTTTCACATGCATATGTTTGGATATCAATCAATTTGTTTGTGAAAAGTAAAATAGCTAAAATACCGAACTCCAAGGAAAATTCAAAACGGAAAATCAAATGGCAAAATCAAAAGCTTAAACACATCAAACGAATGGAAAACAACTGTCATATTCCTGACTTGGTACAGGCATCTCCTCATGTAGAAAATGGTGGATTAAATCTGGTTTTATAGCTAGCCAAACCTCTAACTTGTATGACAGTCGCATAGAATTCCATATGAACTACTTTTTTCATACCTGGAATTATTCAAGATGGTCATACAAATCCTTTCAAAATATGGCCTTTAGGTTGCAATTCTGTAAATATAGACAATGCAATTTCCAATAGAAACTCCCTTTGCGGCTAAAACTGTGCCACTTTTACTGTGAAGTTTCGTGAAAAATTGTATCTCAGAACGGAAAGTTGATATGCACTACTAGTTTATTCAAAGGTCAAAATATAGGACTGTGCGGCATATTTTCAACATTTATCTGCCCTGAACTTGAAGTCTTCTAAGAGTTTAAACTTATACTTAAATTCTATACTAGCCCTATCTTCATTTTTAGACCACCACAGAATTAAATTTTAGGTGCTACCATGTTTTTCTATACTCGTTACATTCCCAAGTTATGTCTCTATGAGATGAAACACAGAGATCATATCTGGGAACCAGTACGTTAACAAATTAACATATCTATGAATATTATATATCTCCCCATAAAGAGGCGTGGCTTGTGAAATAGCTGTATTTACAAAGTGCAACCTTTTATAAGAGGAAATATAAATTTACAATTAATATTAAGTTATGATTTATTTAGATTGCACAACATTTGTTTCTGAAATAACGTTTTTTGGGTTCACTCGAAGCAAAAAAGGGCTAAACGGTACAACCGAAACAATGATGTTAAGAGTTGTTTCATCCGGCTACAAAATTCTCAATCGGACAACCCACAGTCAAAATGAATAATTAGAATAAGAACAGTCCCGAAGCAGTTTGGCTAATTGACGGCTAAAATTTACAGCCAGAAAGCACTGGTATTGACAGAAGTTTACAAATGTTCAAATCTTGTAAATCGATTAAAAGAGACTATTCAAGATAAGAAACAAAAACTGAGGGAATCACATCAACCCCAAAAGGAACGAGACCGGGTGCGTCGACATGATGAGCGTCTACTTTTATGTATGCTTCACACGACATGCCAATTCACACTCAGTCAAACTGTCACAATCGGAAACAGGACACAATCGGTAAAATACAGATCGAAGTCTTAACTGGTATATAAAAATTTTCAGCAAATACATGTTGCATGTTGAGATACCGACACACCGTATCGGTCAACCAATTCGCGATGGTGACCGTAAATGTTTTTTTTGTCGATTTTGATCGTTCTCCCTTACAACTCTGTTAGAACAGTTTTTGTGTAAGGAGCACACCCCTGTTAATGACGTCCGTATAGTGTGAACATACACGAGCGCAATGTATTAGCTGAGATATGTAAACGCCATATTATAAAGTAGAGGGAGTTTTACTGCTGAGAAATTGGAAGTTGACAATTGGAAAGTTGAAATAATCTCGGCTGTCATCGATTCTAGTTTGAAGTCGTCCATCTGTGTCAATATCAAGGGGGAAAACAAGATATGAAGCAGAATTTCTACTTTCGGTAGTATCCTTAATCTCATGTTCACTGGGATATATGAGATGTAAGCACTCATTGAAATGTGGATTTTTGAGTGACAATAATTGTCTGCAGAACGCATGTTTCTAAAACAACTTTAATATTAAGTACATTCAAACTATAATTTTAGTAGGCCAATACAATATTTTTTTTTAAACTAAGGAGGCTTCCAAACAGTATAGCATCTTCCAACGAAAATTATAACATACAAAATAATCTAAAAAAGACGGTCAAAATTGTCATCGGGAAACCTTTTTACTGACGCAGTTGCAAACTTTTATTTAAGAATGCTATATAGATCCTACCAGATTAATACAGTCAAATGAAGACTGGGAACAAAAATACACATTCCTTTCAGAGTTTAAACTTTTACATAGACATTCTGATACAGTTTTTCGTATTACTATATTTAAGTCTAGGAATTAAACACAAATGGTCGCTTTTCATATACAAAGTAACAAGGGCATGCATTTGTCAACCATTGACATAAATAAATAACTTAAAGAGTGTGGCAACAAATCTAATCCACATCTTCATACGAAAGTTGTACCCAGCATTGTGATAGCGTTCTTTCTTAATTCAACATGCATTGCGAAAGAATCAAAACTCTTAAAATGAAGAATTCTTCTTTTAGATTTAAATCATTTTTAACAAAGACCGTACTTTGACCTATAATGGTTTACTTTTATAAATTTTGATTTGGATGGAGAGTTGTCTCATTGGCACTCATACCACATCTTCTTATATCTATCTACACACATAGTATTTTGGTTTTGTTCGTTTACCATTTTATAATAACAATAACACAACCACTAACAACAATAATATCAATGAAAGATTGTTGAACTTTGCTATGCTGAACGGACGTACAGATGTGAACGACTTCATGTATATCTCTCCTAATGTTAAATCTGTTGTTCATTACATTTGCGTCCCACAAGAACATTATTTAAGATTATATGGCGAAGAAATGTGATTAAAGAGTTAAATTATAACCCAGAGAAAATACCGGATCACTTTATGTTGATGCGCTATATGATTTATCCCGATTACGGCTAACAACACAAGGTGATCAAGAATGTAATCACACAAGTTTGAACGCGAAATATCAAGAAAATTCCAGACAATTTTATTTCAAATGAAGATGTTAGAATTAGGGTGTTAGGATTCAGCACTCCCTAAACTTTATTCGAGATATTCAAATGGCTTACGACGATTTTCAAAAGAACTTGCACGACGAAATGACGATTGCTGCATGTAATGAGCCAAACAAACGATCAAAACTTTATACACACTTTATTGGAATGACTTCTTACAGCCTCAATGGGACAAAAGGTGTTCACTTGGGAAGCAACATCTGATATTTAAGGGGTCGCCGTTTCAAAAAAGGTGTTGAATGAATCATACTGAACTGAAAGAACGTTTTTGAGAAGTTTGATAGAAAAAACCCCGAAAAAAGCCATTTATGTTAAATAGAATCAGAACTGCGCAAAAATCTTCAACTTGCAAATCCGCAAGAATTTTGGAAACCGATCGAGCGTATAGGTATTACAAATGAAAGGAAAGAAATGATTCACTGGGGAGTAATCGATTGTGATGGAACTAAGGACTGTGTGCTTAGTGTTAAGGAGAATATGCTTGTCATGATTCACTGCGGACAACGATATCTTCTCACCAATTCACGACGTCAAACTTCATGAACAGTCTTCTATGGATTCGAGTGATCTAAATGAACAAATAACACGAGACGAAAAAGTGCAAGCATTTAAGTTACGTAAAGCGTGGGGTTTCCATGAAGTTGTAAAGAATGAAGCATAAGTAGAACTGTTGTACATTATCTCAACAAACTACTCGAAGAGAACAATATTCTGTATGACGATTGAAAGCATTCAAGAAAGGCAACCTTGGTCATTTTTATAGACCTGCAAAAATCTTTTACACTGTACCTCGCAATCAACTATGGCTCAAAATACGGCGAACTGGAGGACCTTGAAAGTTTTTATCAGCTATACAGTCATTATATCAGGATGTTAAGTATAGTATAAGTATAACTCTTTTACTTAGTTTTTCCATTGGTGTTAGACAGGGGTGTTTTCTCTCGCCCTCCTTGCTTTTTGCGATGTACATTAATGAGTTGACAGATCGAATTAACAGTCTAAATTATGGTGTGAAAGTTAATAATTTTTCGTTATGCATTTTACTTTACGCGGATGACATTGCTCTTTTTGCACCCACACGAGATAAATCTACAGTAACTTCTGGGTGTTATATCCGAATGGTGCGAGCACTGGAAAATGCAAGTCAATCCTGTAAAAACTACGATTTGAGCACCGAACCATATGTTTCAATACTGTAAATTCAGAAATTATTGCGTGCATTTATTATTGCGATTTTTCAAAAATGGACGAGAATGCGATTTTAATTATTGCGATTTCAGAAAAATTTACATACAGATCTATGTTTTAGTTATCAAAATGCGAGTTCTTATTATTGCGATACTCGCCTAGTCGCATTATTCGCATTAATAAAAACCTCACAAAACTTTCTGAATTTACAGTAGCTACCAAGGACAGATCGTTCGACAGTTTCTTTATTTTGTAGGGAGTCTTTGCCGTTATCCATAGAGACAGGACGATATGCTTCACTGCAAATACCACTGCATAATCGTTTGTTTAGTTTTGTAACGAAAAGCCGATTGAAGACGGAAACACTTGTTGATGACAAGTCCTAATTATGGCGACATTCGAAACAAACCTTTCTTAAAATGTTGTGAATTCATTGATGATTTTGTATATCTTGAAATCGATACGAAATTTATTCACATTATGAAACAGTGGCGAAAGATACCAAAGGGATATTCAAACTCATAAGTCGAGTTCAAAACCCGGGGTTGATATCAGGTGCTCCGGAAGGGTGAGCATATCCTGCTGAACATGAGGCATCCGTCGTGTTGCTCATGAAAGAGGGCGTGGATGGGGGTTTACAGAATAGAGAATAATGGACAAAAAATATAAAGAATAGAGAAAAATGGACCCAAAAAATAAAGAATAGAGAATAATGAGGTGCTCAAATATAAAGAATAGAGGATAATGGGCAAAAATTATAAAGAATAGAGAAACATTTCCTAAAAAAATAAGGAATACAGAAATGAAGGATCCCCAATCCTGAACCTCATGAAAGTACAAACCCGGTGATAAGTCTAATTCGGCAGGTCACATTAGAGGAAACGAGGACGGATTTATGGTTACGGCAGTTGGAACATATCCGTCGTCATATGAGAAACATATGACGGGTAGAGTTCTCATTCATTCATTTTCGTATTTACCCGCCATTAATTTTAAACTAGGCGTAAAATATTCAATGTGTATATTTTTTGGTACATTATTTTTGAAAAATATAATCTTACTGTGAAGGCTAATAACCAGCTATTTAGTACTTTTATTAAGAATTTTAATTTTAGCTAGTTTTTGAGATTTTTAGCGATATATTTTAATTTGTATAGTTTTATCTTTAAATATACCGTTTCATGAAAACTTGTTAAAAAGAAGATTGTCTTATAATATCAGATATGTATTGAAAACATTTTGAAATTTAGTACAGTTCAAATTATTTTTGAAATTTTATTGCTTGTCTCAAGAATACGTTTTTTGTGTAGATAGTGTTTTAAGTTTCTTTTAAGTCTGCTTAGGATTTGTATTGATCTATCTGCCAGTGTCTTGATTATTTTACTTATGAATTTGATCAATATGTTACACTATTATATCATTTTATTTTATTATTAATTATATATCCCAATAATAACAAAATAAAAAATAGTAAATTACAACAACAGTAATTAACAATAGCATAACTAATGACGTAGAAACATAAAATAATAAATATTGTTATTATTAATATAAAAATTGCATACATTTTACGATTAATACATTAAGAGCCGATTCTAATAACTAAGTCATTGTAAAACTATACAAGTAATGTCTTTTGCTGGTTTCATTAAAACTTTTTTCATGGTCAATTAGACCACATATTAATCGGAACAAAAGACAGTTACTGTTTTATTCAATATTCTATGAGAATTATATAGCAACACCTATTGATATCAAATAAATTAACTAATTATACATGTAAAAGCACGTGAAGTTAAGCGCGATGAATAACAACTTTCTTCAGTGAATATTTTGTTTTAATAAAACTCCAATTCGAATAAAAAGAACACTAAAAGTATACCAATATGCAATAATATGTATTACTATTTTAAAACACGTAAACTATTTCTTTTTAGTATATAAGTTAGAAATACTTACATATTTTCTTTTTATTTCTTTAGTTTGTTCAATCATCGCTTTCACAACCATTCTCATGTTATATGATAAATTAAAATCTGGAAGAGGCGGTTCTCCTATATCTAAAGTTCTACATGGGTTAAGTAGCATAGCTCTAATGTTTTGAGGTAAACACTGTTCCCGTATGCCAAATCCGTTACCAATTGGAATAATAACTGACAACACTATATCTGTATTAGAAAAAATATCGGAAACTAACAATCAATAAAAATTCTTTTCATTTTGACTTCTTATCAGTCACAGAATGAAAATTATTCAATGTTGACACCAATGTCTAACATGTTGCTGAGTTGACCGTAATTTCATTAAGGAAGTAAAGCAAACTAAAAAAAAAAGGAGGTCAAACAACAACGCACCACAACGTATCAAACTAAAACGATATTTAAAGTTTTGTCTAGCGAAACGTAATAGATAAGATCTAGTTCACCGTATAATTCGACGAGAACTTAATCCTTCTTTAAAATGACCCTTTGGAAACATATAAACTATCGTATTATGATGCAGTGTAAACAAAATCGCTATACTCCGTACATGCAGTTTTCGTACAAACACCTGTAGACATTCGACCTTATGACAAACAAAACAGTTCAGAATTATAACATACTAAAGAGTTCTTTAATTTAATCAAATTAGACATTAATCGATGAATTAAAATTGGACTAACATCTTGTATAAAACAAATAGTTATTTGGTTTAATAGTATTTAAGATTATAACACAATGTTGACTGCTGTACCCTAATTTTTGACATTTTTACCTGTTATGTCTGTTTGTTTTTTGCGACTGTCATACAAGTGAGAGGTTTTGCTAGCAATAAAACCACGTTTAATCCACCATTTTCTACATAAGGAAAAGCCTGTACTAAGTCAAGAATATGACAGTTGTTTTCCATTCGTTTGATGTGCTTGAGCTTTTGATTTTGCCATTTGATAAGGGACTTTCCGTTTTGAATTTTCCTTGGAGTTCGGTATTTTTGTTATTTTACTTTTTTTTGGTATTACGAACTTACAAATCAATTCGTTCAAAAATAGTACGCTTAATTTCATTATTTCTTACATTTGTAACTGACTTTATAACTTAATAAAGAAAAATCACTTCGAATATCGCGATTTTTAGCTGTTAAACAGAATAATGTACACAAAAGATTTTAAAAACCGATATGTCTAAGATATATATGACTAAATCCAAGTAAAAAAATTAATTTTTCGTTGACTTCCGAGTGTCTTTTTGTAGTCTTTTATACCCAACTTCTAAAATGGATGGTATATACTGATGGGAAAGTCCATCAGTCTGTACATTCGTTTATTCGTTCTTTCGTTAGTCTGTCCCACATCTGTATCCACAACTGAATCTTAACTGCTAAAGAGAATTTTGTGAAACTTTCACGAACCATTCTCACTAGCACTTTTGCATTTACTTTTCTGTTTCTCCATTCCAATGATTTTGGGTTGGTTTTGGTTTTTTTTTTGTGTCAAACATAGACTGTAATAACACTACAGTCCATATGTATCCGCTTCTCATACAAAACCCCGCATCATAATGAAATAAAACTTTCTCAGAATCTTCACCAAATTATGCAATTTTGCACCTCTAATTTTGTTTTGTTATTATTTTCGGGTTTTCTTATGGTAAAATCATAAAATCTACCATTGCTTTTTCTGGAAGGGGTATCAATTTTGTATCCTTAACTCCCATTTACCCCTTAATTGTATTTATAAACTTTTTTTTAAAGTCTTCTCTATATAAATCTCATTGTGGGCCTCCATATTATTTTGAGGATCTACCTTAGCAATTCATGGACTTTTGTCATTGGTTTATCGGGGTATTTATTTTGTATCCACAACTCAAAGGTGCAAAGAGTATAATTTTGTAAACAGTAACAAAAATAAACAATAGAAAAAACCTCTAAGATATAATCCTGAATCTAGTAAGTAAAAACTTATTAATTTAAAGACTTTCAAAGATCCTTTGGTATTGAGAAATTACCAATCAATTTGTGACAATTAGAACTTTTAATTAAATTCTTACTTACATTTATAATTGACTTTATAAATATTAAAAAAAAATGAATTCCGTGATATTGCGACGTTCTTTGGTTTGATTTACATTAAAACAGAAAAAGAGCATTTTAGCAATATACCAAATTATACATACATATAAGTTCCATGCTGTTGTATTTCATATTAAATATATTTTTTTCAAATACATTTTTGATTTTATAGCCTTCTTTTCCAGACTTTCCAAAAAAAGTATATATCTAAAATTTGTAAAGCCCTTTTTCGAAACGGAAAATTTAAGCTTCCTATGTTCCAGGAGACATTTACTGTCATACTTTTGACTGTATATTGATGGACAGGTCAAAGGGATTCACATTTTAACATGATATATAACAAGTGTTAACAATTTCATCAATTTCGTGAACATGAGCCGAAATTCCTCTTTTAATGTATCAATAATGTATCAAATGAATGTCTCATGGGGTATTAACTTCCATATGATTGTTTTCACTCCTCCATTTAAGTATCATATTTTAATTTCGATAACGCAAACTGTAACTTCATCGTCTTCATTGAATGCTTGAGCAGAGGTATGTGGTAAATATTTCATTTGCTCATAGTTTTAACAGTTGTCCAATGATTACGTTTGACAAAATAATAAACATACTACTGCAGGTCACAGGTTTTAACCTCTCTGTTTCATCTGATACAATTATACAAGACGAACTTGCACTCCTTCCGTTACGAAGTTTGAAATTTTCAGAAGAAAAAAAGATACATGTCACATATCGTATATATGCTTGTTTCATCCAATTTCATTAGATTTCACTATAATTTCTCCTTTTCAGTACGTATTTTTAACATTTTAGCGAACGTAGGTGATGTGGAATGTCATATTATTTATAAGGAAAACGGCAGTATGTTTTCCTCCATAGGCGACTTTACTAACATTTATTGAATTTTCTTTTATACTTTTATAAATTCAAACCAGTAGAAGACAGTTATGTCTGATATTAGAACTCTGTTTTAGAAATTGAAGTCAAATCGTGGCATGACCATCTTCCTTTTGAGCTTGTTTATAGTATCCATAGCAAACGTAATCTAACATCAAAGTAATGAAAATTCAGATATCCTTTACAATAATCCTCAAAAAATATTTCAACGCGTTTCAATATTTATATAGTTGTAAATGTACACACTGCAGTTATTCGTGAGTTAAATAACAAATATATATTATACACAGAGCTCCAAAGCTGGCTTCCTTTACCTGATTAGGTCACAAAAGCCCAACCTAGGAAAATTAAATACTGCTTTTTTTCCCCTTTAGTAGGTACAACTCAGTATAATACTATGTATATCATCGACAACGGTTGGTGAATATCAAAGTTATGGCTGATCATGCTATTGTTAGAACTTGTTTACATTTCAAAGGATTATTTCGAATGAAAAGAGGGCTTCCAGGGGCAAGGCAAACAGATTTAAGGAATGGAGTCTATTTTAATGCTTTGGAATTGGTAAGGTCATATCACCAATATACTGACTTTCCTCACTTATGTTCTCTACTGAAGTTAGTAATCACAAAGCTTGTGTCTTCAAGCATACTGATGTTTCCATTTGTGTTCATTTTTTGTCGATTCCGTTGTCATTAACACAAACTTTTCCGTATTTTGATCTTTTTATTATTTGTTTGTAATTTTAGTTTAGCTAGATTTTACTTAATGATACAATTGTGTCTTTTATCTTCTAGTCTGTATTTGATAGAATAGCAATTAAATGTAAAAATCTCTTTAGAAGTGTTAGACAAGGTTCAGTTTGTCTCCGTTGATCTTTAATTTTTCTCCTCATACGACTCATCCACATGACGTTATCTTGTCAAACAGAAATGTAATCAATTGGTGTGTTAACAAATCGTCGTGTACCTATCTGTTGAAGTCGTTACAAATCCTTTATTATGATAATTATTTTTAAATGTGTATTTCAATTGGACATGCTTAAATGATTTCAATCATAAGTCTTTGATCCATAATTTTCATGAGTGTTTTGAATATAATGTATACCGTTTCGATGCGAGTTTTTTCCTGATATCAGGTGTCAGAGAATGGAATAGTCCATTTACTTTATTAAAATGTTCAGTCTTTAAATTTTATTGTTTCATTTTCCTAATTGGTAAATTTGCATGATTTTTTTTATCATATAATCATATCAGACTATATATTTTGTAATACAAAAATGTAAAGGATCCCGCAAAAACATATCGAGGGAGTTTAGTTGACGATGTTTTAAGTCCGTGGTAGTGACCATTTAAACACAGTACATGTATATCAGAACTGTCCTACTTTAAACGCATTAAAATACGATCTACTACACTGTGTAATTTGTTAAATACGTTAAACATGAAAGAGAACATGAATAAACAATGTTAGGTAAATGTCAAAAAGGAAAAAAAGTTAAATACATTTTTGTAGTTAGATAAGCTGAATGTGTTATTAGGTTGGCTTTGTTGGTCTGCTCTTTATACGACATGCTTGTAAATTCATATCCATTTTTTTTATTATATTAAGTTTATTTAGTAGTCACCACTTTTGTGTTGACATGAACTATGATTGCTATGTTTATTTTCAGTAAATTACTGTTTATAAAATGTTGTATTATTCGTAACACTAAGGTGTTTCGTTTCCCAGGCATATATGACCTTAGTCGTATTTAGCACAACTCCTCATATTTTCGGTTGTTAATGCTTTTCAACTTCGTATTTGATTTTGCGTTCGAACTGATTCGAACGTCATATATGAATCTGATGTAGACGAAATGGGTGTCTAGCGTACCAAAATGAAATGCCTGGTATCATTGATTATGTGGGTTTTTTCAAAGTTTCATTATATGTTTTGTTTAAAATCAAAATCACTGTCAAGTGATAAAACTTACAAACAACACTGATTGGACATAAGCAACAATTAAGGCAAGCAGATTTCTACCTCTGTAAAAAGTAAAATAACAAAAATACCGAACTCCAAGGAAAATTCAAAACGGGAAGTCCCTAATCAAATGGCAACATTTAAAGCTCAAAAGATCAAACGAATGGAAAACAACTGTCTGACTTGGTACAGGCATTTCCTTATTTACAAAATGGTGGATTAAAACTGGTTTTAAAGCTAGCTAAACCTCTCACTTGTATGACTAGTAAGAGTTTAACTATTATGAATCCCATTTTGTAGTTTCTTCGATTTATGTTCCATCAATTCTTCTTCTGAAATGTATTTTTTATCAGTTTATTTTATATGAACGGGTTTGTTGTCAGCACTTTTGTGTTGTCATGAAATGTCTTTAATTTGTTCATTATCTGTAAATTTACTGTTTGGAAA